TATTTTTCAAACATTTAAACGTCTTCAAAAAAGTACCTTTCTACTGCGTTTCGGAAAGGAGGGTTTTCGTGAGGTATAAGGTTCGACTGAAGAATAGGACTCTACATTGTAGAGTGATTGTAGAGTTGGAATCCGACACTACATTAGGTTCAGATCGAGCTGGAATCCAACGCGACATTGTAGAGTTGTAGAGCTGGAATCCAATTGGAATCCATTTCGATTTGCTATTAGACGTGGCATTTTAAAGGAGGAAGGCGTCCTGCTCTCCAACTGAAATGTAAGAGACGTATTTGCATACGCATTCATGTGTCAATTTCGTGATAATTCGTGGTAATTCGTGTCCGTTTTGCTATTAGGGATAGAGCTGAGTTGGCTTTTCACCAGAATTTTCGGGGAAGATCAGAAGATTTGGGGGGGGGAGGAATTTACCCCTTGTTCGCGCATCATTTTCCTTGGAAATTAAACCAGATTGGCTAAAACTAGGTTGCAAATATCAGAAAACCTGAGGAACACTAGGAGCAGCTGTAGGACTCGGCATTGGCACTACAAATGTAGAATTATGTAGAGCCCACATTTCATTGGTTGGAATATTCTAGACTAAAGGCCTTCGCACGCATGCAACTGAATTTGCGCAATTTGATTGGCTAAATCAATTGACGCTAGTAGCGCTAACGGTGTCAGCCATTATTTCGTGACGCAGGCTGCTGCTCGCACGCTTAAGTAAGCTCTGTTAGCTGTGACTCAATTTTCCGCAAAATTGTTGATATCTCGCTGTTTTTTTTAGTATGTGGAAGCCTGTACACCAGACGACAGTAAGAAGGCGAGCAAGGCGCGATTATCTTGCGCTTATGAATGAAGTTAAGCGGGAAATGAGGGAAAGGTCTTGTTCCTCTATTTCAGAGCCGGTAAGCATTTCATTTGCTTTACTTAAAATGCCTTCAGGAACAACAGGTTGACAGTGATTCAAGTGACATTAGCTTACCTAGGTCTCCGTCACCTCCCGCTTCAGCCAGTAAGTTACCAAACTACCGTAACTTTCTTCCTAGGCCGAGGTCAACATCTGAGCAGTTGGCAAATTGCTCCTGATAAGAATTTGGACGCCATACGGCGAGACAAGGTGAAGCTGAAGAAGTTTGTAGTTGGCTACTTGAAAAGCTACACCAGATTCATCACTGATGCCCAGCAGAAAATCATGCAACAGTTCCAGAAACTTGAAAGCTGCCGGCAAGAGGCATCCACCAGCCAGGTGGATGCCCCGGCAGCTGAAAGCTGCATACTCTCAAGGGTGGAAACCCTTGAAGATTACGATCGCCTGAATGCACGAATAGACGACGGGGTTTTCCGCC